TGGCCGGCTGCCCCCTGTGAGGTGGGAGCTGTGGGGCCTGCTCTACACGGGGCTGTGCAGGGTGGGCGGTGGTGCTGGTGGGGCAGCTGCAGGCAGGGTGTGTCGATGGTGGGCTGCCCCCCCGGGGCCAGAGCCAGCACAGCTGGTGCTTTGGGAGCCGCGGGGCCTGCTCTACACGGCAGGGCAATAGTGCTGGCGGGGCAGCTGCAGGCACGGCATGTAAGCATAATTACAATATAAAATGTTATTGTTACAAATGTTTTTTATTATGTATTTATCATATTATAGTGTATTCTGTATTATTGTTGCAATGAATAAAATGTTTCTTTTATTTACAATATTTTTTTCTTCAATTTATTTGTGTCCTCCTTTTCATTGTAAAAAAGTTGGTCACCTTACTTTAGGATAAATGGGACAATGCAATAAAAGTGAGCACAGTGCAAGTATTCATTCAGTTTTTTAGCAAAGGAAAGAGGAAGGTTGAGGAAGAAGATTGTGACTGGATACCTTCCTTCTAAAAGCATTTTGGAACCACTTGCATCTTTCACACCCTCCCATTCCTACCTGTTTTGCTCGTATTAACTCATTTTAGCCTACTGGAATAAATATCCAAACTTTTGAAAATAAAGATGGCCTAATTCACTCCTCTCTTTTCTTCACTTGTATTTTGCTCAGAAAGAGGAACTAGTCTGATTTTAACTGCAGCTATTTAAGTTCCCCCAAGAAAAAGGAAAACTTGCTTCCTTCTTGCCTGTATTAATGTAGTTTAAAACTCCCCACTCCTCCTTGCACTTAATAAGACCCCATTTGCAAGTCTGTAGCCCATTCACATATTCCATCTAAATCTGAAACTCTTCACTATTCTAGACTTGAGCTCTTGACATCCTTCATAATTGCTCAGACTCCAGCTATGGAATTATGCATAATTTGGAAGGCTACAAGCCGTCCACTTGTGTTGTTACCTATTTGACTGGAAACCAGACCCATTTATCCACTATCCACTTTCCTATCACATTCTACTACTCTTACCTAATTAGCAGTTCTTGGCATCTTAAAGTTTTTGGTAGTATTATAAGAGTATTTTATAATTCCAGTATTTGTTCAATAATTCTTTTCCCATCATGCAATTTTTGTTTTGTTGTTTCTGTTGTTATTTCTGTTCAACTAACAATAGTACTAATTTTGTTTTTTATTGCTCAGAACTAACCATGGTTTACTGATTTTACAATTTGGTAGATTTACTTGACTCACCAAACCATAAACTAAGCCATAAAGGAAAATATTTGTAGTTCAAGGATGACATGAAGGGGTCCTTAGTGCTTTTCTCTAGAGAAGAAGAAAACAACTTACTACCTTTCCTGATCAACAGAGACCACCACAATGGCAACCTAGAAATACAAGTCTACCAAAAAATGGATAGTCACAAAGCTTTATCAAAAGGTTCCTGACTCAACCCAATACAGCACAACCAACACAAGAATTACACTGCCATACATCAAAAACATCTGACAAACCACAATCAGACTATTACAACCGCATGGAATCAGCATAGCACACAAGCCAACTAAAGCCCTTCAAAACATCCTAAGCAAATCAAAAGACCCAGGAATCCCAGAAAAAAAACAGGAGTCACCTACAATATACAATGTAAGGACTGCAACAACCACTATGTGGGACAAACAGGCAGAAGACTGATGGAATGCATCTGCAAACATTAACTAACAGTCAAAGATATGATGAAAATTCTTTAATTTCACAACATATAGACAGATTTAACCATAGGTTCAATAGAGAAAATGTGACCATCCTAGACCATCCTTTGCATCTGTCTTTACACAAAGGGAAAAAATAGTCCAACCTATCAAAAACAGTGCCATAAAAAACAGAATAGAAACACAAGGTAGGCAAGAAAATGGTAAGTGAGCACCTGACCAGCCTAGACGAGTTCAAATCACCAGGACCAGATGGATTACACCCCAAGGTTCTCAAGGAACTGGTAGATGTGATCCAGAACCACTGAACTATATTTTTCAAAGATCTTGGAGCACTGGGGAACTACCAAAAGACTGGAAAAGAAGAAAAAGGAAAAAATGGATCCAGGAAATTACAGACCTATCAGCCTGACCTCAATACCTGGAAAAGATAATCAAACAACAAATTAACGAACACCTAGAGGCAAACAAAGTCATTACTAAGAGCCAAGATGAGTTTGTCAAAAACAGATCATGCCAGACAAATCTTATTGCATTCTTTGACCAAGTGACAAAATTAGTGGACCAGAGGAATGCTGTGGATATAATTTACTTGGACTTCAGTAAGGCATTTGATAAAGTAGATCACAACCTACTACTTGATAAGATAAAAAAATGTGGGTTAGACAGCATCACCACCAAATGGATTCATAGCTGGCTGACCGGTCATACTCAACATGTGGTCCTCAATGGAACTGCATCTACATGGAGGGAAGTGTGTAGTGGGGTGCCCCAGGGCTCTGTTCTAGGCCCAGTGCTCTTCAACATCTTCCTCAATGATTTGGACAAGGGGATAGATGAGGAACTTGTCAAATTTGCAGATGACACCAAGCTGGCAGGAATAGCTAACATTACAGGAGGATCTGGACAGACTTGGACACTGGGTGCTATCTAGCAAAATGAAATTCAATGGTGAAAAAAGTAAGGTTCTACATTTAGGCAAGAAAAACCAAATGTACAGGTATACTATAGGTGGTACCTTGCTTAATAGTAGTAACTGTGAGAAGGATCGTGCAGTCTTAGTGGACAATCACTTAAATATGAGCCAGCAGTGTGCTGCAGCTGCCAAAAAAGCCAACACAGTGCTAGGCTGCATTAACAGAGGGATAGAATCAAGATCACGTGAAGTATTAATACCACTTTACAATGCCTTGGTAAGGCCACATTTGGAATACTGCATCCAGTTTTGGTCACCACGATGTAAAAAAGATGTTGAGACTCTAGAAAGAGTACAGAGAAGAGCAACAAAGGTGATTAGGGTTCTGGAGGCTAAAACATATAAGGAACGGTTGCTGGAATTGGCTATGTCTATTTTAATGAAGAGAAGGATGAGGGGGAACATAATAGTAGTGTTCCAATATCTCATAGGCTGCCACATAGAAGAGAGAGTGAAGCTATTATCCAAAGCACCTGAAGGCAGGACAAGAAGCAACGGATGGAAACTAATCAAGGAGAGAAGCAACCTAGAACTAAGGAGAAACTTCCTGACAGTTAGAACAATTAACCAGTGGAACAACCTGCCTCCAGAAGCGGTGAATGCTCCAACACTTGAAGTTTTTAAGAAGAGACTGGACAGCCATTTGTCTGAAATGGTATAGGGTTTCTGTCTGAGCAGGGGGTTGAACTAGATGACCTCCAAGGTCCCTTCCAACATCATCATCATCATCATTATTATTCTACCAAGTCAAGTCCAAAAATGCACAGGAATTTCTAGAAGCCTGGCACTCTGACAAATCAGCCATCCATAGACACATAGACATAGACATTAACAACATCTATAGATTATCACCCAGCCCAAAAAGGAATAAAAAAAGACCCAAGCATCTCTCCAATCAGCACCCAAATCAGCATAGATTAACTCCAAGGTTAATCTAATCAGACCAGCAATCAAGTAAATAATACCCCAATCAAGAAACTGCCAATGAAGCCAACAGCAAACAGCCCAGCCAAATAATCTCTTAAGACCACCCCCACCAACAGGCAAGCCACTAGAATATAAACTGACAGCAAACTCCTTAATAGCACTGATGATGTTACTTTTTGTTATTGTTGTTGTTAATTGCGAAGTCGTGTCCGACCCATCGCGACCCCATGGACAACGTTCCTCCAGGTCTTCCTGTCCTCTACCATCTTCTGAAGTCCATTTAAATTCACACCTACTGCTTCACTGACTCCATCCAGCCATCTCATTCTGTCGTCCCCTTCTTCTATTGCCCTCAATCTTTCCCAGCATTAGGCTCTTCTCCAGTGAATCCTTCCTTCTCATTAGGTGGCCAAAGTACTTGAGTTTCAACTTCAGGATCTGGCCTTCTAAAGAGCAGTCGGGGTTGATCTCTTCTAGGACTGACCGGTTTGAACGCCTTGCAGTCCAAGGGACTCACAGGAGTCTTCTCCAGCACCATAGTTCAAAGCCTCAATTCTTTGGCGCTCAGCCTTTCTTATGGTCCAACTTTCACAGCCATACATTGCAACTGGGAAAACCATGGCCTGGACTATACGTACTTTTGTTGGCAGGATGATGTCTCTGCTTTTTAGTATGCTGTCTAGATTTGCCATAGCTTTCATCCCCAGGAGCAAGCGTCTTTTAATTTCTTGGCTGCAGTCCCCATCTGAGGTGATCTTTGAGCCCAGAAAAATAAAATCTGTCACTACCTCCATTTCTTCCCCATCTATTTGCCAGGAATTGAGAGGGCTGGATGCCATGATTTTGGTTTTCTTAATGATGTTATTTAGTTTGGGTAATGAAACATCTGCAAAAAATAAGCAAGTTCAGAGAGCACCAAGCCCCCCCCCTAAATTAACCATATCGATTCGATCATCACAACGCAGCCTTTCCACAATACGCTGTTGGGAGGTGGAATTTCAGCTTCGATCATTTTGTTATGATTTAGTGCTTGTCTGAATTTAGCCAACTTGCTACTTCAGTAAAATCAAGTTTAAAACACTCAAACGAAAATTGCTCGGTGCGGATAAAGTTACCCTTGGCCACACACTTGCCAACCAGATTTCCTCCGATATGATCCTAGCTCACCCATGGATGTTAAAAGGTCTTTTAAAATCCGAAATGGGGAAATTGGACTTCTTCCTATCTTTGTAAAGAATAATGGAGCTTATTCTCTTCAAAAAAAAAAAAGCCAGCCTAGTCGCGGTGGGCGGATCCGGCGCGCCTGGAAGGGTGTGAAGGGGAGGAGCAGAGGCGGCCGGAGGGCGGAGTTACTTCTGGTCTTTCGCCGGTTCATTCGGAATCACTGGTTCTCGGGCGGCACATTTGAGCGATGGCTGGAGCCAGGCACCTTAGCAAGAGTTTGGATGCCTTTCGGGGACTTTTCGAGAGCAGTTTGAGTCCGGGCTTTCCAAGTGGACCTCGGTAAGAGGGAGCGCTAGAGGAAGAAATGATGGCTTGGGGGTGGAGGGTCGGATGATCGGGAGATCCTGTCTTGTCTTGATGCCGGTTTCATTTCTCCCCAAACTGAATCTGGTCCCCACTGGCGGGCGAAACCCGCTGCCAGGAGCAGGAAAGCAGGCGGGTCCCATGGCCGGAGGCTGGCTGGATTCTCATGATATATTAAACTGGGCTAGATATTTTGTTGGTGGGAATGCCATAGAAAAGTGATTCATTTAGCCAGAGCGAGTTTATGTGAAAGCCGCATCTCTCTTTTATTAAAGCATTAACGCTTGCTAAAGCATTAGGAAGACATGGGAATCCAATTTTTCTGACGGCTTCCTTATCATTTCTGTTTGCAACGATGTTTAAGACTTAAAAAGTTAAAGCAGATGAGCATCTGGGAATAGTACCACCAAATCCCGTGGGTTTATTTCTTCAGAGTAACAATTCTAAAAGATTCTTAGTTATCACTTCAGTGAACATTGAACAATAACCATAGCATATACTTAAAACTAATATATTCGTACACACACAGGTTTCTTGAACTCAGGGATTGCTAAATATGTTAGGCTAAAATCCCATAATCACTGAACACAGTATATAATTCCAATAATGTAAATCAATGAATGCATTGTGAGTTTCACTTAATTATTTAAGACCTGGGGTTTATAAAACCTTACCCCTGGATGATTGTTTTTGTATTGTTGTTTTGTTATGTTTTATGTGTTTTTTATTGTTAACTGCCCAGAGTCCTTCGGGAGTGGGGTGGCTTATAAATTTTAAAAATAAAATATAATAAAAAAAAACTTCTGAGGCTTAGGAATACATTTGCTTAGTATGATAATCAGTAGAATCATTCATTCAGTATAATGGATTTAATAGCCAGTTTGTTAAATATTTAATATGATTTAATAAATTATATTTAATACTTGGAATTGATGTAATTTAATAAAAATAAACATTTTGAACCCCTCATTCTTCATAGTGAGACAATGATCATATGCCTGAGTAGAAAATCTACTCCCAGTCTACTCGCACTAAGTTCAGTGGGAATTATTTACTGATTCTAGACTTTAGATAACTTGATTTATTTAATTAATTAAATCTTTGAGTAATTCCCATAATAAAGCTAATTCTACTTGTAGCAGAATATAAATAAAACCTTTAAAGAAATAAAAACAAGTATAGAGTGAATGCAAAATAAAACCAGATATGCTAAACAGATCTTAAATATACAAAAACAGTATTGGAAATGGAGAAAAGAATGCATCAAGGATTAAAATTGACTTTTCTGAATTCTCCAATTATTTAGAGAAGTACCGATGCCCTTTAAATGTGTTTCAAATAAAAAAGAAATAGTTACAGTCAAGTTTGAACAATAGAAATATGCCCATATAATTCTCCTAGCAGTGTTATAGGAGTGGTTTTTCATGCTTTCTTCAAAGATTTTCCTCCCAGATTCTATCCTTCCCTTTCCCCTTCCCTTTCCTCTTTCCTTTTTCCCCTTCCCTTTCTTTCCCTTTCTCCTTCCCTTTCCTCTTTCCTTCCCTTCCCTTCCTTCCCCTCCCCTCCCCTCCCCTTCCTTTCCCTTCCCAGGAATTATTTAAGAGTGGCTAGTAGTTGTTACTTGTAGTTGTAGCTGTTCATTATCTGGGAATTTTGGATATCTTATGATCTTAAGACTTGGAGAAGGTTGAGGATTGCCTGCCAACTATGTTAGTCCTAAGGCAGAGGTAGGCAACCTTGGCTCTTTTATGTCTCATGGACTTCAACTCCCAGAATTCCTGAGCCAGCCATAAAAGTCATAAAACAGCCAAGGTTGCCTACTCCTGTCCTAAGGGAAGCTCTTATTAGCATTATCTGTTTTTAGATGAGAAATAAGGAAGCTCACCATTCCCTGTTCTCAGCTTTGCCATCTTTGATGTTTCCTTTTCTCTTTTCTACAGGATCATCCCCACTATGCCCACTATGCTTCACCGGAGATGTTTAAGCTCTAGTAAGTTCCTTGGTTCTCTAATTATGAATTCGTGTTCTTTCCTGGATTCCAGATCAATTATGAGAAAGCAGGTCCGGCCCTTCCTCAATTTTGCAGCTCCTCTACTTGGTGCTAAACGCGTGGAATATACTGAAATCCGTCAACTCCCGTGAGTAGCTCAGTTGTAACCATGATTGTAAGCTAGTCCCTGCTTGAGGTCTCACTTGGTGGGATAGCGGTATTGAGATCTCACCTAATGAAACATAGTTATCCAGTTGTCTGCTAGTAGTATCTATTGATTGTTTTTCCATGTAAGGGGTTTAGAATTTGGCTCTAGTTTGGAACATTTGATAAGATGTAACCATATACTTAGGTCATTCCAGATATAGGTCTGTATCCACAGTGAAAATACTGTATGTCTTCAGAGGCACCCTTTTATTGATTACTTGGAATATCTTAAAAATCTAAGAACTATGAAGAATCAAGTAAAAGAACTGATGGTTGGATTTTCATAACTTGTTAAGCACATTTCTCATGTCCTCGTGTCTCATGAGATTGTCCTGCCAAAATTTGGTGGGAAAGACCTTATTTTCATCAATTTATTTTCCCTGCCAAATAAAAGGATATTTTCCTCAACCTGAAATGCTTGTTTTCACAGACACTTGATCTTTTCATATCTGTTTGAAAAGCAATGATCAAAACTGAGTAATATTTCAGATATAGACTTCACATTTATCCATGGTTTAAACTAAGCAGTGCTAATAAATGTTTGGAGGGTAATTTCACTTGATCCAAGAGTTTAGGCTTTCCTGTGCTTGTCTTTAATGCCCTGATTAATGCCCTGGTTTTTTGCTCACCATCTCCATTACTTTTGCTCATGCAGGTACTCTGTTGACCAAATGTATAACATTGTAGCTGATGTTGGCAGCTACCAGCTCTTTGTTCCCTGGTGTAACTGCTCCCGCATAATTTCCCATCACAACAAAGTCTTCAAGGCTGAACTGGAAGTGGGATTTCCTCCTGTGGTTGAGCGCTATGTCTCAGAGATCTCCTCAGTGCCTCACTGTCAAATCCGGGTAATTCATGATATTCGGATGGTTTAAAGTTCTGGTTACAAATTGAGTGCCTTGTTTTTTTTCAGAAAGTGGCTGCATTCGCAAGATGCTCTAATCCCCAAATTATTTATCCATGGTTCATTCAGTTAACCCAATTTTCTGGGCTGTAATGACACTTTGAATCCGAAACTAACAGAGTTATTTGGATTCAGAACTTCTTATCAGACTGAAATGTGGTCAGCCATTTTGTGGATCAACCAGTTGTGTGTTTCATTTGTGTGGCTGTCATCTTGACTTTTTTTACTACTCCCCTGATTGTCCCTGAGGGGTAATATTGTTAACCCAACTTGAATCTGGTTTCAACTATTGTAGCTGCTGCTTATGATTCATTTCCCCTTTTTTGGTCACTGCTCTCTTCACACACAAAGCAACAGCAGCCTGGGAGAAACTATATTATGTCATTGTCCTTTCAGAAAGAACACTGGTATTGCAACAGCTTATCAGCTGATATGTGACAAACTTCAGCTAAGTCATCAAAGCCAAAGTTGGATTCCCTTTTTTAATGCATTGATACTGAGGTTTTTAGTATGTTCCCACTTGAAGATTTGCTATAGTGGACCACAACCCGTTACCTTCAGGATATGCTGATGCTGAAGGCCATAATCTAATAATGTTATGTGGAGAGTACCAAGTTAGAGAATGCTGGTCTCCACATTCATTTTTTTTTTTAAAAAAGTATTGTTACCCAAACCCCTTATCTGAAAACACAAATTCCAGTATTGTTTTTCCCCTAGAGGTGATATGATACTAATTCCTATCAAGAAATGTGTATCACCTGACATTAGGTTAACCCCCATTCTGTGGGCCTTTCAGAATGCCTTCAGGTCATGATTATTCTTTCAGGCATGGGTTTTGATTAGTTGAGGCCATATGGGTTGGTTACTACTTTCCTTGGTTCCCATGGTATGTCCATTTTTGCTTTTCTTATTGCTTAGTCTGTAATTTTTGAATTTTGTTTGCTACCCAGAGTTTTGTTTACAAGGTGAGAAACCATATAAATTTATTAAATAAAAAAAATGTGTATGTGAAATTCTATTAAGTCACAGTACCATACATATTCAAAAGTTCATCTATTTTGTTTTGTGCAATTGATAGTGTCATAGTTGGATCCTAAGTCAAGAGTATTCAGTTGTCAAGTGATTCCAGTTTCCCTCTACCCTTCTCATATATATTGCAGGAAAAGTTTTTGTTATGCGGATATCTTGTGTGCCTTCCCCAGCCATGACATCCTCAACTGAATGGAATTGAACTCCTAAAATCTCAACAATGACCATACTTGCTTGGAATTCTGGGTGTTGAAGGCTGCATATCTGAAAAATTCTCTAATTATCCATCATGTTTCTGGACACAAATCAGGTGGAGAGTTTCTCTGACTTTCTTCATGGGAAGAGGAAATTCTCCAAGTTTCTCAAATACAGGAATCCTTTAAGATGTTCCCCAGTAGGGGCATTTCTTCCTGAAATTTTCCTTTGGATTTTATAGCCAAGATAGCTGCAGGTTGCAGGAAAACAATTCAGGACATTCATGCTCATCTTTTGGTTCCTTTATCATTAAATAAATGCAACCATGAGAACTTTCTTGAATTTCTGTCGCTTTAAATAATTTCTAAAGCAAGTTCTCTTTTGTCACTATGAAGGAAAATAATGGAAAAAAATAGTTCCTTAGATGCTAGCTTTAATAGCCATTCTGCCTGAGTTCAAGGACCACCAGATTAATCCTACAGCAAAAGAGTTGTAAAGTGCAAGCTGTTTTTTTTCTTTTTAAATGAGTTTAAACAAGCAGGCGTTGATTTTGCTGATTTGTCTTATCTTTCAGGCTGTGAGTAAAGATGGGCGGTTATTTCGGCATCTGGAGACACTGTGGCAATTTAAGCCAGGACACACAGGACGCCTGGATTCTTGCATGCTCAAGTTTTATGTAAGTGCCTTTCATATACTAGTTCCTGATAAAGGGGAGGGACTCCAAAACCAACAGAATATGGGGCAAGAATTCGTAAGTTGGCAAAGTCCAGTTTTATCACAAGTACAAAGGTTCATGTATACTCTAATTATTTCAGCACTGTAAATTTGTTACCAAATGATCAGTTCACTTCATGTTCAGTTTTTGTTGTACTGATGTCCTGGTACTATTGTACATTTATTTAAGCAGGCACAGATGTGGTCAAACATGAGAAAACTTATATATACGTGTCTAGGTGTCTACTTATGCAAATTTATTTTATTTCACCTCATTCACAGGTCTCCTTTGAATTCAAATCCACCTTCCATTCGCAACTGGCTAATCTTTTCTTTAATGAGGTAGTCAAGCGAATGGTCTCAGCCTTTGAACAGAGAGCAGAGAAGCTGTACAGCACTCAAACTGCAGTCCAGCCACGCCAGGCAATTCACTGCACGTGATGATGGTTTTGGGAATACTAAAGTCTGAGTCCACCTTCCTGATCTCACAGAGCAAACTCTTCTTTTTTGCCCACATCTGTATCCCTTCTTGGATGTTTTATTCATGGACATGACATTATTTATGCCTATTTACCTTGCAAAAAAAAAAAAAACTCTGAAAGGTGCACATTATTTAAATGATTCTGCTATTTTATTGTATGTTTTGATCTATTATAAATTATTGAATATTTAATCATGCTGTTATAAAATGACTGTTTGTTATAATGGAGATCCCTGACCATCATTGAAAACCACAAATATTATAATAGAATTTTAAATTATGTTTGAAACAGAACATGGGATTTTTTTATGCTTCAGTTTTTCAAAAGTGGCCTATTTATTGATTCACTAAATAATTTCTTGAAATATAAGGAAAATAGAGCTATGTCTAAACACAACTTTTTTTCCTTCAGTGGCATTCACAGAGTAAATTCCTAGAATTCCCCCCCCCTTTTTTTTTTTTGTTAAGTCTCTTTTCTCTTCTAGATGCCATGGGATCAATCTTTTGTTTCTTTCCTTGGAGTAACTATTTTCCTTTCAGATTAATTCAAACTACTCTAAAATTAATTTAAAAATGGAATAAAAAAACTGGGCAATTAATTTTTCTTTAGTAGCTCACAATAAGTTACTAAATGAGCAAATTGATCAAAAAGTGCTTCTTGTAAGCCAGTCTTTCTTTTACTCAAAATTTTCTGGGTAGAGGCTTTTGTGAATAGCAGCAGCATTTAGCCTAATGCTAAGTAATTGAAAAACTGCAATTATTAGTCTAGGCTAGTCATATAGGAGTTCTAGCAGCTACATAGACAGTGATGCAATCTAACCTCTGATCTCTTGAAAGGAGATTTTATATCTGAACTGCCTGGATAGAAGCAGGTGATTGCCTAAGACAGGAATTGCTGACAAGATTTAGTTTAGTTGCAGCAGAGATGACGCCACCAAGCTGACTCTTGACTCCCACTCAGATGGCGTAATTCCTTAAGCACAGAAGAAAAACTATCACTTGTGCCAAAAATAGCAATTTCCTATTCTGAGGCAGTCCAAGTGGTGATATCCTGGAAGATGAGGGAATCCTTGCTCAGGGTTCCCTAGAAATATGTAGAATGCAGAACTAGGGAGGAAAATTAAGAGCAAATTTGTATCTCCTCGATGAAACATAATTGTGCATGTTTGCATTATATGTCAAAATCAAAGATAAAACTGAATTGTTTATTACAAACTATCCAAAGCCATATGCATTAAGCTTCCATTATTCTGCCTGTTAGTAAATATTTATCAATATAACATGGGCAACATCTTAATAGTACTTGACAATTATGTGTGCACGTGTGTTCACAGAAAAAAGTGACAATAAAGGTTATCTTATCTTAGGACAGATCATCCAAAAAATATAGTTCAGCTATAACTTGCTGACTTACCTGCTTTTTAACTGGTATTCCATACACTAACTACGAATTGTTTTCTGTTTGCCGTCTCAAAGTGGCAATGGGTAAGTAACTAGTATCAGTTTCAGTAGTCAGAGTCAGTGGGAGCTGAGGGCTACAAAGAGGAGACTGCTTGTGGTTCTGGGGCTGCACGTTGCCCCTTAGGTAGTAAAGTAGAACATTTCAGTTCTAATGAACCAATTTTTGAGCACTGATCTTATTAGCAGCAAATTGTCAAATAGAAGACTTGCGGATGGCTAATTTTAAAGGAGTAGGGCAAGTGAAACACAGAACTCCCACTCTCTGGGAAGATTCACCAAGGCAAGAGGGATATAATGCTCATTTTCTTTTCCAGGGTTTACCAACATGAATAAAACCTTACAAGAGTCCTCCAGCTCCCCTTCACTTTAATAAGGTTTCCACAATAGGATGTCTCAAAGTATTAACCCCCAAGTCTGATTTCCTGATGATTTCTGTCTCTTCTTCCATTTCCACAACTGACTCCCATTATATCTGTGGCTGAGTATGGAGGTCAGTCTTTTGCACAAAATCTTCTTTATGGGTGCCATCACAGTAGGGCGGATTCTTGGTATATTTGCACCCACATAACCAGGCCTTTTTCGATTTTTCAGCTGTGAATCTCAGGGGAGAGATTTCTGGGGAACTTTTCTTATGGGTTCCATCACAGAAGGGCTGTTAGATACATACAAAACCAAGACTGTAAACAAGCCTAACAAAAGAAAGCATTGACTGTCTATGGATTTTATATTTTATAATTGCATTTTTTCTCAGATTGAAAAAACATCCTAACCTGGGAAGCCTGAAGAGGCAAGTTTGTTTTGCAATCTTTTTTTTTAGCTTGTATGTTTTTAAAACTTTGTATTAGCAAAAAGAGAACTGGCTTCTTCAAACTCAACCAATCTAACTATTGCAATAGTGGACTGACCCTCTACCCAGATTTGTTAAGACAGTGGATTCCAAGTTCGAACCAAAATGAAGATAAAAGAAACCTGGAGAAATGCTGGAAGTCTACCTGCTTTTGGCTATGTCCACAAGCACACCAGGCATAACGTTTCTCTGTTATTAAGTCCACTGGAAAAGGTTCCTTGGCTGCGATCACTGGTTTGACTGATGGGGCTGAAAGAGCTGAGCAGCTTCTTATCTGCAATCAGGCAAGCAAGAAAGCATTGGCCTTATAAAAAAAATGAGACATCTGATTAACCAATGCCATCCTTTATTAGGTTAAAAAGTTCAAGGCATGCAATTGAAAATAGGGAGAAGTACACATTTTTTTCTCTTCCACTCCTTTCTGCTACGAGGAAATGCAGAAATTGAATATAGCAGAACAAAGGTACAAATATATCCACCTACCCATTTTCTATCTTGAATGTTCACTTCCAAAGTCATCTTCTGGTGCACTTAACATCTGACAATTGCATTTGTCTAACTAAATACAGGAAGTTCTTATGATCATAATTGGTTTCCTTTGTTAAACAAGACAGTTAAGTGCATTTTGCCCCTTTTTATGACCTTTCTTGCCAGTTGTGATTAAGTGAATCATTGCAGTTGTTAAGTTACATACATGGTTGTTAACTGAGCCTGGTTTCCCCACTTTGTCAGAAGGTCACAAAAGGTGATCATATGACCCCAAGACACTGCAACTGTCATAAATACTTGTCAGTTACCAAACAGTTGAATTTTGATCATGTGACCACGGGGATGCTGCAATAGCCATGTAAAAAATGGTCATAAGTTACTTTTTTCAGTGCCGTTGTAATTTCAAATGGTCACTAATGAATGGTTATAAGTTGAAGACTACCATAATGGATATATTTTGAGTTTTGTTTTATGTAGCCCATGATTTGATATCCTCATCATTTTATTCCCTGATTTATACTCTATTTTGTGTAACTCAAGGCAGTTTACATTATTTCCTCTCATTTTTCCTATAACAACTCTGCGAGTGGATTGGGCTGAGAAAAAACGATTGGCCCAACTCACTTGGGTGACTTCCATGCCTAAGAGAGGACTAGTCCAACATCTTAGCTGCTACATCTAATTATCTCATAAGGTCGTAACGCTGCTGGGATATGGACCGAGGCTTTTCTGTTCTGACTTGCTAAGCAGCTCAATTTCTACTTGGAAAGAGCAACATGAAGGCTGAAGTGGCTGCTTGTTATTCAGTTGTTAAAGTCATGTTTGATTCTTTGCTACCCCGTGGACCTTAGAGCAACCCACTACCTTCCACTGTCTGATTCTGCCGTAACTCATCCGCACTGTGTCAGTAAAACTATCTATCTTATCATCTGCCATTCACTTCTTTTTTTGCCTTCAATTTTTCCTAACATCAGTTTTTTCCAATGAATCCTTTCTTTTCAGTTGGTGGTCAAAATATTTGAGCTTGTTTTAGTATCTGTTCTTCCAAAGGATAGTCAGGATTGATTTCCTTTAGGATTAAGAAGTGGTTGCAGGCATATATAATAATAATAATAAAACTTCTGTTAAAGGAGAGATGGAATTTTTGTGATCTTCTAGATACTGCTGAAATACAATTAACTATCAACATTCTCCCTCCCCTTTGCTTATGGCTTATGGCAAACTCGCCGTGTCCCGTGATGTGTCGCAACATATTGCAACTTTTTTTTGCATTGTCGGAGCTGGGGTGGGCATGGCCTCCGTATGATGCAATCGGCCCACAGGCTGGCAGTTTGACACCCCTGGCTTATGGTGTCAGAAGTTGATCAAAATTCAAGTTCAGCAATTACCAGAGACCCATGTTTTCCATTCCTGGCAAAGTGTTTTTATAGAACCAAAAACTCCAAGTGTTTTTATATAAAAGTGTTTTTTTACATAACACAACTTATTCCTCTAGGAATCGCTAACTCCGGTTATGTCAGGAATTTATTAATTCTCATCTTATGTGAGAAAATCCACACTGAAGCCAGTGAGAATCATGTTTGAAAAGGCATGTATGGGAAAGGCACATTCAACTGTGCTCTTGTTTATTTTTTGAACTATCTTTTGTGGTATATCATTTCACATTTTAACCTTTGGCCCCATCATACGCGTCTGTTCCTAACGAGGCCAACATGATATTATGCAAACTGACCTGTCATACTTGCGTCATGTTACACTGAAGTACATAAGAGGCTGTGTTTGTACTAAGACAATGTAAAATATATTTCATCACTTGCCCACTCTGAATATGGCATTAAGAACTGTTTGGTAAACTAGGAAAAGTTTGCTCTGGTACAGTCCTAGGAAATAAGTGTTTGGATGTCACGAGTTTGGATGTCATTTTAGGCTGGACCTATATAAAAGCTATTCTTTTAAAACCTGTGAGACAGAATCTATGCTCAAATACAGGAGATAGACTAGACGCAGGGGTTCTCAACCTTGGCAACTTTAAGACTTGTGGATTTCAACTCCCAGAATTCTGGGAGTTGAAATCCACAAGTCTTAAAGTTGCCAAGGTTGAGAACCCCACTAGAGTAAAAAAAATTCTGCACATTACACCATGCCAGGAACAGTGAAGTAAACACTGTACTATAGTATTTTTATTTTTGAAATGTTAACGAGTCAAAAATAAATCCCATTTGGTGTTCACTGCTTTTCTATATGAAGCTCTGCAGCAGACTCACTTACTCTACATATATCCTTCTCTACAGCCATCTCAAGAAAATGTTCAAAAATTTTGTATTTCGGCCTCTGTATGAAAAAGCAACACAAACTGAAGTCATTGAATTTCGGGGCGTAGGGAAGGAGAGAGGGAGAAAGGGGCCTCCGGCAAGCTTTCCAGGCTTCCGTGCTTACCTGCGAGAAAAAAAGCCGACAGAAGGAGCCTGCTGCTGACGCCACGAGACCCCCGGTTTTGTGCAGCCCGGGCATGGTTGGCAAACAAGCTCCTCCCGCCACCCGGGTCACCTTCTCTGTAGCGCGCCGCAGCCGCGCGCCAGGAAGCGGGGGGGGGGGGAGAGATGGCAAGCCCCGCCCACAATTGGTGGAGAAAGGTTCCGAGGCAGTGAGTGCCGCGGTTGAGAAAGCTTTTGCAACCTGGTGACGGCTGGAGAGTGATAGGGATTGAAATCTGAGACATCCGGGAAGCGTCGGTGATTAGAGTTGGGCGGTTTGGTTGCATTCGGGTGTTAAAACGCTTGATTGCAGCCTTTTGCTTCTTTTGCCACTCAAGACTTCATTAACGTTAGGAACAAAATGACATTAAAATGAATAGCCTTAAAGGGGTCTAGATATTTGTGCGCTTCACCTACTAATAATAAAGTAATAAAGAATAAACGGCCGGTTTAACACCTACCTTAACATCGGATTCCTAAATGTCTCCTATCCCATAAATAGCAGAAGTAGGATATTAAATACCCCCTTTGATATGTCATTGAAAGCATTATATCTAAGTATAGGACGTGAGAGAAACAGTACATATGAATGTAAAATGTCAAAGAAGAGGAACTGGTGAAAACGAGGTGTAAATGAGCATCTCTTGAGTATATTTCCACTTATTTATATAGTATGTAAAATAGGTAAGATCTTGGAAGATATTGTTCCTCAAAATGTTCTAAGAGAGGAGAACCTCATTTGTCTGATTCTTGCTGTCTTCAAAGTATGTTTAAGAAATAGTTAAGTATTTGTTTAAAAAGGAACACACACACTTGGTTTTAATGGAGTATCATTAGCTACTTAATTCCCCTCCCCACTGATCTAAGTTCAATACTGACATAATTTCAGATTCAAAACTTAGCCAAGATTCCCACATTTTCAACCTAATTAATTTGTGTTTTGCCAGGAGGGTATTTTTTCCTCGTGTAATTAAAAACTATCCTTCTCTCCAAATATTTGGAATTTTTCTGATGCTCAGTTTTGTAACTTATAGTACTACCTGGTTGGGGATGCATGATGTGTTACATAGACTTCAGCTTCTGGAAAAAAATAATTTGGATTTTGATTTCCAACATTTATGTTTTCTGCTTTTAATAATTTTACTGCTTTTAAAAGTTTAATGCTTTTTATTGTTATGTTTTTATTATTTGTTGTGCCTTGTTTTTAAACTTTGTTGCCCAGGGTCACATATGTGTGATGATGGCCAAATACATTTATCAAATGAATAAATAATAAATACATGTATTTCTACTGTAATTGGAAGTTTCCAAAGCAAAGAGATAGCAGTCAATATTATTTGATGAAAGATGGAAATTAGGTTTTTTAAAAAAATATTTCCTTTATAGTTTATGCCAC